AATTATCTAAGAGAGCTGAGAATTAAATACAAGCTATTGAATTTCAAAGATCTTCTATTTCAGGCTAATTTAAACARAAATTATAATAGCATTTCCCCAAGGAAATCAACATACACAATTCTTATCTAACCCAGCTCACTGGGGCAGGATTCTCAGAGTTCAGCTTGCATGAAAGCTGGCAGACAGTTATAAGGAAGAAATAGAAATTCTTGTTCCTCTAGCAGGCAAGTSTGCAGGGTGGGCTCTGCTCTAAGGGCCACAGCATGAGCTGCATTCAGTGGGTGTGTTTTTTAAAATGCCCTGATACTCAGATTAGGACTGTGCTGAGATCCCATCCATTCTAAAAGGTTCGTTTCACTTATCATTTTGCAGCATGAGAGTTTGTTTCAATCATTAATATACRTAATGCTATTCTCATCTGAATTTTATATGAAAAACCAAATGGTTTTATAGTACTTYAGTATGACCTTGAACTAGCCAATCTCCAGCAAAGATGGCAAAGAATGCCATTCCAAATTRAAAAGCTGGGAGGTCATTGTTTCTTTTATTTTTGCTTGTAACTATGTCTGTTTGAAATGGAGCTGAACAGAGATTCAGGTCAAACCATCTTTTAGTGACTTTACTGATAAAAGGGACAGGAGTTTGTTCTCCTAGGAAAATATACCTATTTTATACTGTTCACATTTCAAGTTCAGGCTGTGGAGAAAGATTGATTCAAAATTTTATTTAAATGTCCATATTACAAAAGTAAAGCTGTGTTGTTTTCTTGCAARTAGTCATAACTGCTTTTGCTCTGGCATTTGATTATTGTTGTTAGAATTATCGGTCTTAGTGATTTTGCTCATTCCTTGAATCTAAAMATCTTTTGTCAGATCTAAGTGATTCCTTAACTCTACATGTGTAAATGGGTGTGCAAGTTCAGCCTTGTTTAATTCAGCCCTTTCCTAACATTAATCCTAACACTGATGTCAGGTCCATTCTCCGTCTTAGTGTAAAAAAAATGATAGATGATGGAAACACTTGTATTGTAAGAAATGTAAGTGACAAAATACCCAGGTTTGCCGAGGGCAGTTTAAGACTGATGGAGCTGCTCTTGGCAGTGGTTTCTTAATTACAGTTGTCAGCTAACTTTCTTGGCTTACGACACAGAACTTATATGTTTGTAAGTAGGTTTGGTATTCATTCAGCTTAAAAAGTTAAAATGCTTTTTTGCCCATGAAAAGTGTGTCTATACCTCATTGTTTCATGAATATGYTGTAGATGGTGACAATTACATGATGGCATCTGTAAAATATGTAGAGACCCTTGAAAATACTCACTGTTCTTTAAGCCAGAATTCCGTCAAAGTCATGGCAGATCAAAACAACTTTTTTGTTTTCCTATCAAAGTAGGATTCAAACTACTACAAACAAGTTTTGTAGTGTGTAATTAATTTTCCAATTAGTAAGAATCTATTACAGTAAAAGAATAAAACTATAGAAAGTTGAATCAKGCATATCTTTTACTCATTTTAAATAGTTCCTAATAATTGTATGTATTGCCTGTATTCCTCAGAGAGAGCCTTAACTTCCRATATATTTGTAGTTATTTGTGTGGAATGACAGAATCAATATTTAATTCATCRGAAGGTAGAGGCACTTTTTTTCTTCATTGTACAAACTAAGAAAGCTTTTCAAATTTTTGCAGAGCATCTTCTGCAGAGAGAAGTTAACCTTCTCCTAATTATTGTAGACAAGGTCTTAAAAGGTCTGATTCCTTAGAGGGCTGCACATTTAATATTAATAGAGCTTTCCTTGTTGGTGTTTAAAGGCATCTCACTGTTTAGGAAGTAAATAAATGGAGAAAATAAGCACCAAAGCTAAATTAGCATTCAAGGAATATTATGAGTGCTACAATGAAAGTMGCTAATGTTTCCAAGTGAAAACAAAGATTTGGGTCTACACAGATGATTTTATATGGTGAGAGTACCAATAAAATGTAACTGGATTTAATTCTTAGGAAACATTCAAAGAGTTATTGGAGGAAACTCATTSTACAGTCTAAATTATTATATTATTATAAGATTGTATTCTAATGCCTTACATAAATCCCAATATGAAAGATAATTCTACTGTCCCAAGTGTCAGGGTGGTTTTTCCAAAAGATTTGTACCCTCCAGTACACATGCTTACTGACATCTGCCCATGTGAGAAGAGCACCATTAAAAGACTCCACCATTTATTAGTACTTTGCTGTATTTACTGCTTTGAAAAGTAGAAATCTCTTTGTTTCTCTCTTGATCTATCCCTTTCCCTCCTGTCTTTTTTCCTGTCTTATTGTAGCAGCTACCTCTCATCCAGTTGCTGCAGGGACCGATTCTGAACCACCKGGTGCTGTCTCTCACCACATCTTGGGGTGATGTGACTCTTCTCTCCCTCTTCTGCTGCTCAGCAAAAGCTTCTTTTCCTCCACCAATTCTTTCTCCCATGCAAGGGTAGCATGAGCATCTCTGTATCATTGTTACTGTCTTTTCACCTCTGAAAGAGGTCAGTCAAAATATCAGCATCTTAAACATTCTCTGTAGGGTGACAGTGGCTGGCGGCTGCCTCAGCCATTTCTGTAAGCTCTAGGCAGTTGCAGTTGTGACTGCTGGCTGGTGAAAAGAGAGTCCATATGTCTACAACAGACTTCCTTTCCCTTTCCTAATTTTTATCATGATACAGTWATTCTCAGTGAGGATATGTTGTTCCTCAAAACTACTTAGCTGAAGAGTTTCTGTGTTACTGTGCTGAATGCAACACAGAAAAACACAGACTTCACCTAGTGTAGAGCCTGAAACTTGACCAACTACTGTCTCAGCTGTAGTTCCCAGTGCTTTTTCCTTACCTTGTACCTTTGCTGTTCCAGCTCACAGAGTTCAGCTTGTCTCCCTTCATCTTCCTCCTGGATGCTGGCAAAAGGCTGCTCCCCAATACACTGCTGCAGTAGCAGGTGCCGTTCCAGATGTGATGTTCCTGGGATCACCAGGAGAATGGAATGAATGGAGCTTCTCTTAACCRAATAAGGGTGTATGGCTGGCTTCAGAGCAGACAGAAAGCAAAAGGAGCTTTTACAGTGACAAACATTGCAGGGTGACTTTTTTCAGATACCACTTATCACAGGCCTGCAGCCTGACTCATTCCCTTCTGTAAAGCTGGTCACTAGGTGGCTCTGCCTGGGACAAAAGAGCAGCTGAAGTTTACTTTCCCATTGAAATGTGCTACACAGAATCAGTGATGTTTCAAAGCTGAGATCTAAATCAATTTGCTGAATAGCCATTCATGAAAATGCTCTGCAGCAGGGAATGGTGTTAGATGTAACTGTGGTGTTACATCGCACTGCTCAGAACTCAGCCTTACTGCGTGTACCTATTGTTTCTTCTTCTCCCAATCTGTTATTAGTCTGACTTCTTTTGTCTCAAATGAGGCAAAATAGATGATTTCATACATTGTTTGACTCAGAAGGTATCTACCTATGGAGCTTTATATATGTGTGTGTATATGGGTGTAAATGTGTGTATAGGCATTGCACAAAAACGTATTCATCCACAGTAACAGGTGGTACTGGCAACACCTGTTCCTGGGGTCACTCAACACTCCAGTATTAAAACCCTAATTTTAGTTGCTTATAACTTTTGTCAAACTTAAACATTTGTGTTGAAATGTTATGTGCCAGGTGTCTGCCTTAGGCTAATTTGAGGGAGGGGGTGTGGGGAGAGGAATTTTTCAGCAAAACTGTTACTGCTAGTTCAGGGGGCAGAGGCCAGGGCACTGGCTTGCCTGTGCTGAAAAATGAGCTATTGCTGGTTGAGAAGTTCCAAGCCAAAAGTTGCCAGTGGAGACCCCCTGTAGCTGGGCATGCCATTTACCAACATTATGGAAATTCGCTGGTTTACTGAGAATACATCTCTGTCTGGCTGAATTATGGGCCTGTGAAAATGCTTGGTAGATGTTTGTTAACAGCTGCCCATCAGGCTGCCTCCGTCATGGCCATTTCCAGATAGTGGTGCTGCACTGGTGACCCTTGGGATGCAAAATGCCAGTGAAGCAGCAAAGCAGCCTTGGAGCCTGAGCATGGAGCAGAGCAGGCTGCTGCACGCAGGGATGCCAATCCACAGAGCAAATCCAAGTGGCTCAGCTTGTGCTTACTYAGTGTGAATAAATAGGAGAGAATGGCTGGCTGGAATCCAAAGGAAATGGCGAAGGAAGAGTGATGGGCTGAGAGTTGTAAGAGTGAAGGACAACAGGGTTTTGTGTGAGGAGAAGTGCTGAGGAGATAAACTGAGAAGGGATGGAGCACAGCTCCTATGAGTCCATGACCACAGGGTTCCTAACCATCTGGAATGTTCCATTGATGRTACATTGCAGCTCCTCAAACATGTGATTTATGCAGGAGCACAACCTCTACTGCAGCCAGTAGTTCCCCCATTCAAGTATAGATTTGAATCTGCTAAAAAATACTGAAGAGTTTGCATGATTTTCATCCAATTCTCTTTCATAAAGCAGAGTTGTTCAACTTACATCTGCTTAATAGAAACATAATTTTCATTCATCTTTTCTTTYTTATATTTCTTAGCTTTCACGTACTCAACCTGCACTTCAAGGATTATCATGTGCGCATGATAATCGCTTTATAAATACTACACTTGTTTCTTACTGTCTAGTCTTCTTGCTTTGGAATCTGTACAACATTTGTAGCTCACAGTATGCAAAGTCAGACTAGTCAGACAGAGTTGGTCATCAATATCAAAGTGGGCTGTGGTTTCATCTAGACTGACAGAACATTCGAACAGACTGCTCATATTGTTTTTAAATCTTGYTCTTTCATGATCATTATGGGAATTAGAAACAAACTGTCTGTTGCGAAATGTTCTGTTTCACATTATTTAGCATTTTCCCATAAAAATCTGAAGAAATGCCACAGAACCTGATCAAAGTTTAAAGTCAGTTTGTTGTTGAATGATGATTTTTTTTTTATTATAGGCAAAGCCTCAGCCAAGAAACTGACAAAAAAGGTAAGCAAAATGTTCCTTTCCTTCTTCAAAAGAACTTGCATTCTTTCTGTTACTGAAGTGATTAAGTCTCTTTCAAACTGACTTTATATTTTCTTGTTTGTGTATTTAAAGGAGGTAGATGCTGCATTGTTGTACGTTGCCAAAGCTAAACCAGGACCGACTTTTTTTAGAGACCTTGGTGATAAAGGTAATGGGCACTTCTGTTACTGAAAAATACATCTTGCTTTTTATGTCATTGTATGGTATGAATTGAATGTATTCTTAAAGATGTTTTCATGGATTTTACCTCATCCCCATCTAGCCAGTAGCGACCTCTTTGACAAATCTCTCAGTTATGCAAGAGAGGGTAAAGAAGCTGGGAATTGAAATCCTTCTGAGGTGCAGGGAGGACCATGAAAGAAACTGCAAAGCCTACTTAGAAGAGAAAGGGGCTAAAGAGATGATTTGAACACAAAACGGACCTCTAAGATGTTTTGTTAATAACCTGTCCCTATATAACTTAAATGCTTGGAAACTAAGAATAAAAATAAAATTTGTACCTAATTATATTTAGTGGTATCCCTGATTCCAAGAGCAGTTGAACTCATTTCTCCCTCTTCAGGAGCTCTGTGACCCTTCACAGTGTTGATGTGCTTTGTTTTCTTTTCACCCAACATTTCCACTTTATAGTGGACTACATAAAGAGAAAACTAAGAGCTGAGATGTTGTTRGTGTAACAACAGGGAATTAAAGAACACCAAATAAACATCTCATTAACATAAATTAATTGAAGAGMGAAAACAAACAAGAGGATCAAGAAAACCAAATAGATGAGCAATTAACCATTTCACAGTAACAAAGACCAAAATTCCCAAACTAATGAGAAAGACTGACAGTGCCTATTCACATACTTTCTGTATCATACAGTTCAGCCTGAATCCCTTATCCCATGGACTTTTCTGGAAAATAAAGCTGCTGTTGCACTGCTGCAGTTCCTTGGCAGGCATGAGTCATGCTGTCTCCATGCACAGCAGATACTCAGATAGWGCTGGCAGCTTGTGCCAAGAGAGCAGCACTCGATCTCAGCCTGCAGCATTTCACTTACCCTTTGGCCTCACAGCCTCTGCTGCCTGCAGTTTATTTCTTTTGTCTTTGTGCAGACTTGCAGGGGTCTCCAGCTGGGTCCTTGCCTTGCTTGTCAGTCCACTCCTGGAAGCCCCAGTGTACCCCAGAAGCCCTGAAACATCTCTGARCAAGTTAACAATTCTTTGGTATCCTAGGGAAGGCTGGATTTTGTACTAAACAGTCATTCCCTGTCTGTCCAAAGCACTAATCATCACATGCTTTCCCAGGATTGGGTTTAAAGTATTCCCAGTCTCAAATCCTTGGATATTCTCTCTCTATGCCTGCTTTTTTAGAGCCTTTCTTTTTTTAGTGGTGGTCACTGCAAATACCCAGATCATGCTGCCGCGGAAAACCAGGAATCAACCAAGAGAAACTGCAAACAGCAAATCAGTGCAGCCTCCTCTTAATGCACCTCTCTGAGCGGAGTGCTTGGCAGAAGGTGGGCTCAGTGATACACTCAGCCTGGCGTCTTCTGCGTTCTGGCAATGATTTCTCCTTGCCTAGCACTGTGTGTCCAAATACTCTGTCCTTCARAGGTCAGGTAGGGGTTTGAGATGATGCAGGAACATTCAGTGCAGTTATCCATATGTCCCCACAATACTCAGAGTTTTGACAATTTTTGGTCGTGATGCCTGTTTGGTGACTTCAATGCTTTTGCTTTGAGATGCATTATTATCACAGTTTAAAAATGAAAATATTTATACTTTTACAAGTACCAGAACAATTAATCTACCCCTGTCCAACTGTTTAGCTGAGGTTATTTTAAMTAGCTTCAAATGGTTATTTAAATGTCAAAGAGAGGTAAATCTGCCATCAGTCCAGTTTGTAAAACGTAATGCTAGGGGATTCTGCCTTCTAGTGGGCAGTTTTAAAATTTGTATCATATTTTGTAGGTATACTTATGATTTATTCAGCAATAAGAGTATTGTACTGTCAGCATTTTCCAGTAAGTTTGAGAACAGATATTTCTGGGGAGGGTTAGGGAAGGTTCCTGTAGCTTTAGAAAATGACACTATTTTGCTTGTTGCAAACTGCACATTCTTGGCTGCACGTATGCTGAGTCATTCAACAGTGTGTGAGGCTTTTATCTTTTAAATTTTGCTTGGATATGAATTTAATTTTCAGTGGGTTGTTTTATTTTGAGATTTTTAGGTTGCTGCATTACGTCTTTTAATTTGAGTAYCTTTGTAATGATTACTGCAGAATAACAGGAGATTATCAAAATATTTAATTTACCTCATGGATGAAGTAAATTGGCCACTCACTCACATAGTAAAAGGACAATAAAATTAAAATAAGTGTTTTTAATGAAAATTAGTCCACAAATTAAAAAATCTTATGACAAATTATTTTAGTACCATCAGTCTTCCAGAAAATATCAGGCAGGCTGTGAATTTTCTTTAAAGCATTGAGTCAGGTTTTAAAGCACAATCCAGAATATTTTTACAYGTATTTATTATATTTACCTTTTTACCAATTTCACTGTAGCGACTTTTCAATCAGATTACAGTAAGATGATAAAAACAGTCTGTGTCTCACTCCTGCCATTTCTTGCAAGGCTTCTCTTTCCAGCCCTCTTCAATTCAAGTGCTTCTCCCTTGAGCAAATCAGCAGGGTTTTGTCTTTAAACTGAGCTTTTCTTCACATCCTTCCATCTCCATAAAAATTTTGCTGATTCTTTTCAAAATTTTATTAGATGTAATGATGCCTGTTTAGCTATAAAGCTAAAACTCTCCAGGAGCTCCGTATTTTGTATCTCARTTATTACAACTTTATTTTTTCTCAGATTTTAACACCCGTAATCTGCCCTGTTAATATCCTTTCAAAAGCTTTGACAAACACGTTTTTCTTTCACCACTTCTTTGAGTGCTTCATCTCTTATTTTGTATCCCAACCCTGCGCTCTCCTTATTCTGTTTTACCTAGCATAAGCTACTTGTCTTCAGCTTCCARGCCTTCCTTAGACTACCCCTGTGCTGAGCATCTCAAGCTAGCCAAGAGACAGGCTCCCACTTCTCCTTGGCCAGTGATGCTGTCCTTCATTGCTTGGTGGTTACATTTTCAGTCAGGGGTCTTTGTGCTGACCCCACTGCAGTCCTTGACTAAGAGGTATTTTCTGTATAGACCTGAAAAGTCTCCTCCTTGTCTTCCTTTATATTCTTGCCTTAAACATTCTTTTGCTGTGTCACACACAAAACAAAATCAGGAATCTTGATCACTACTTACCACACTATTTGCTTGAATTCTTTTCACCACCTATTT